ACGAATGGTGGGTGACCGGCACGCCTGCGGCTGTCTGTTCCCCCAGATCAGAACCCCCTGGGATCAGGTCTGGGGGCCACTTCTTAGCAGCTGGGCCACTGTGTGCAGGTCACTTAAATCCTTGGGACCGCACTTCCCCGGTCTGCGAAATGCGGACAACAGGACCCACCTCCTGGGCTGACCTCTCAGAATGTCACAGGGACCAAAATGCATGGGAGGGCAGGTGGCTCCTACACAACGACAAGGGATTATTGTGAGAACCAACCCTAATCCCCGGACAGTTCACTCCTCCTCCCCCAGAAAGATGACGGGAAGAACCATCGCCAGGTGCATGGCGCCATATCAAGTGAGCTTTGCAAAAAGTGCATGCTATTCATAGGCTTAGGGATTCACTGCTTATCACCCTCCCGTGTCAGCATTAAGTGCCCTAGGGGCTCTCAGTACCCAGTCCCTTCCATCAGCAAGCACAGCCCTCTGAAGGGAAAGGGCCCTGTGCCCTGGGTTTATACCGGGTGACCCTGCAAGGGCACGGGGACGCCTGCACGCAGAGCTTTGCTTGGCCAGGAGTCCACCAAGCTGAGCTGGGCCCGACCGCCCAACCTCTCCCCTGGCCTTTGGAAGACTCGGACCAGGAAGTGTGGCCCGGCCCTGTGTGGTGCCGTGGGTATGCAGGAGCTTGGGGGAGGCCTGGAGTTCCAGAAGTCCCCAAGCAGACCCTTTCAGCCTCTGTGGAGTGATGAGAGTAACTCTCCCGCCTCCCTAGGGTGAGGCCCACAGAATCCAGAGAGGAGACTGTAATGTGACGGCCAAGCCTGCCCCCTGCTGGCTAGGTCTGGAGCAGCAACACCAGCCACTCAGGGCAGGGTTCCCAGACAGCTAGCTACACACACCCGCAGAGGCAGGACCCGCTCAGCCCAGGGGTCCAGAAGCAAGGACAGAGTGGGAGGGGCTCTGGTGGGCCCAATTTCCGTCCCCCATGTCTCCTGCCTTCACCGGGTGGGACATCTCCTGGCTTTTCCTGATTGCTGCCACAAGGATATGAAAGCCAGGGGCTTGCCGGAGAGAGGCAGATGGGGGGCTCCGTATTCCTGCTCCTGCCTCGCTCCTCCCAGGCCCATCCAGGCCTCCTGGGCAGCCAGGAGAAACCAGGGCTGCTACCATAGCCCAGATTCCCACTCCCGCCCCCAGGTATTGATTTCCTGCTTCATTCATTTGCCAGGCCTTGCTGGCTGTGATTAGCTTCTTCCATTCCCTCTACGGAGCCCCCCGCCCACCCCTCCATGTTCCAGCAAAGCAGAGCTAATACCAGGCTCTAAATGAGGCTTTGCCACCCTGGCCCCCAGCAGCTTGTGGCCGGGCCTGGCCAATTACACGCAGGCCCTTGGATATCCCACCCTGGGCCCTCGAGGGGCTCTCCTGCTAATAAAATCCCTCTCCTCCTCCTCCTGAGAGCCCCCCAGTCAGTGAAGCCAGTGCCCAAGGGACATCCTGGGGATCTTGAACCGTGGGGGCTCTCTGGCCTCACACCATGAGCCTGGCAGCCCCAGGGCTAGCTCGGGAGCTAGCGTCAATTTGGGGGTATGCACAATGCTGGCAAAGCAAACAAAACAGCCTGGATTTGTGGGCACAGAGCTCTTTCCAAGCAAAGTCTGGAGCCGAGAAGGAAGAAGGAACAGGGCCCGAACCTTCCTGAGGGCATTCGGAAAACCCACATCTTCTGCTAGCCCTAGGGGACCAGCTGTGGGACTCGGTGCCTTCTCCAGAGAAGAGCCAGATGTAAACAGCCAGATGCAAGGCATTTGCAAACGCTAGTGAAAAATCCCAAGTGCCCACACCCAGTTCAACACCCAGAAGAGGACCCTGGGAGACACTTCCTGAAATTCCTTCCCTGCACTCCTCAGAAGAGGGGAAAAAACTTGACTTGGTGATAATTCTGTAAGCTATATTGCTCTTGTCAAATTATTCAACATCTGTCTTCATGTTCCCACAAAAATTAGCATAGGATAGTAGTTTCTGATGACACCTTTGGTGAAATATTTTGACTTCTACCAGTAAGTTGCAAACAACCTGTCTTAAGGATAATGTCAATTCCCAATTCTGCATATTAAATAATCCAGGGGTTTGTCGTGTTTTTGTAAGGGAGCGGAATCCCACCGACCTGCCCCTGGCTGGCAGTCTGGCTGCTCTGAGAGGGTGCATGACAGAAGTGGGGGTGTCGTCGGTGCTCAGGATCTTGCTCCTCCATCAGCCCAACACCCTGGCTGGCCAGAAAGCAGATTACTGGATCCACCCGGAGGACAGCAAACCGGGCCAGGAGATTGGGAAGCGAGGAGGGAGGGGGATCTGCTCCAAACAGACCATCTGGTCCAGCACTCGGGCTGCTGCAGCATCTGGGCCCCAAAGAAGAGGGAAGCCACCTGGCCAAACTCAGCTCTTCCCCAGCCCTGCGGTGGAGCTCAGAGCAGGCGCGGACCACAGCGAAAGCAGGGCCTAGGGCTCTGGGCACCTGCCTCCCACCAGCCCAGGCCGGAACCTGCCAGGTTGGCCCCACGTCGTCCTTCCCCTCTTCCATTCAGTCTCCTTACTGACCTGCCCCACCTCAGCCCCACAGGCCCAGGGACAGAGCGGCAGAGCCCAGCTCCCTCTCTGGGACACATGTCGCTCCCTCTCTGGGACACATGTCGTTCGTTCTCCTGCGCCTTGAGCACAACACGGCGCCACCCTCCGCACTGCCAGGGCGACACAGGGCTTCCAGTCTCTCCTCTTTCTGAGGATCTCATGAAGGGAGGAAAGAATTCCAAGAAGCTGTTCAACCTTCCCCAAGCATGGCTCTTCGTTCATTCAAGAAATATCTGCCGCTCCGGAGTTGTGTGGCAGGCACCGGAGGGTGGCACAGGGGAGTGGCCGTCACCTGCTACCCTCACTCTTTCCCAAGTGCTTCATCTGCTTTGGGGGTGGGGGCACAAGAGTGAACCCCAGCGCTCCACCCCACCTCTTACAAAGGTGCCCGGTCCCCACACCTGCCAGGTCGTTTACATCTCACTGAACTCAGCACCCTGGCATGGTCCTCCTGCTCCCGTTAGACCTTTCCCTGTCCATCCGCCTCACGGTTCCCCCACAGCCCCAAGCCGAGCTCTCTAAGGAAAGGTGGACAGAAAGTCACTCAGAGAGCCAGGGGTTGTCCTGGCTCACCCAGCCCTCTGTGAGTGGTGCTGAGTGACAACAGCAGGGACCGGGCACATGGAAGGGAGAGAAAAAAGGGAAGGGAGAGACTCTGAGTCTACAGCGACTTTCATTTAGGACCCGCCCTTGTCCCCTGACCCCCACCCTCACTCTTGGGAGGGTCTCTAGGCCAGGCTGCAGAAGTTAGAGGGAGAGGAGGCCAGGCCCCAGAGCTGAGCCGGCAGACTCGCCCAAGGGCACAGGGTGGGAACTGCCCGCTGAGGACACGGGTGGGGGGTCCCCTGAGGCCCTGAGGAGGAAGCACCAGTCTCAGCAGCATCCCTCTTGGGCACCTCAGGAGACAGCAGATCTAGAGGGAATCCTTGGGGAGGAAGGAGGAATCCTTGGGTCACTGGTGTCCTCCTCCAGCCTAAGGAGCCAAAGGCTCCAGGACAGGCTCAGCGGCCGGACTCCCCACAGCCTCGCCCCTGTGCCTGCAGCTTCCCTCCTCCTCCCAGCCTCTTATGGCCTCTGTGAGGGGCCAGACGGCCAGAGACACACAAACTAATTAAGAAGCAGAGTTTGGCCAGATGCCTGAGCCCGCCTCACCAGGGAATTCAGCCTAAGCCAGCTAGCTGTGTAAGGCTGGGAGCAGGCCACTTCCCGGACCCCCAGGCACAAGAAGACAGATCAGGGCCCCTCCAGAAGGAAGCATTTGGCACCTGAAGCTGGCAGCCAGGGGACACTGCCTCTGCCATCCTGCGTGGCACAGGACAAATTCTCCCTTGATCTAAGGAGGAATAATTAGGCCCTCCGCCCCAAATAGAGAATGAGAATCCTGCCCACCGGAGCCACACATTAAAAGTGATCTACAGAGAGAAGGAGGCAGAAGGAGGGCCACGGACCCTGTAGATGACTTGGGTCACAGCACAGTGGGAGGGGTGACCCTCCCAGCCTGGGTGACCCTGACCAGCTGACCCCCTGTTCTTGGGGTCTTCCCGGGAAAAACCTCGGGATGGGATGTGGAAGGGTTCGGGGTCTTGCGTGGCGACGCAGGAGCAGAGCTGTGCGACAGGAGACAGAGTTTGGCCGCGTCGCCCGATGGGTGCGTGCCGTGTACGCGTTAGCTGGGGACCGTGGCTGGATGTGTCTGTGTGTGCAGGCGTGGAGAGGGAAGGTGGGGCTGGGGTACCCAGGGACGGGAAGAACCGGCTCCTTAGAGGTCTGAAAGGGCGTACTGGGTGGGGAGATGCCCGAATCCGCCCCACTGTCGCGGAGTGAGAAGGGATAGTGAAGCCGCAGCGCCGGCAGGCGGAA